ATCATGCAAGTGACTCAAGTTGCCGGTCATATGGTGTGACGCCTGTATCAATTATCCAATTCATACTTGTCAACTTCTCATTTGTGTTGGGTTTGCAAGAATTCAAGAGATTAATAAATGTGGTCCACTATTCATTAGTCAACCCACTGAATGCTGCACAATCTCCCTCTATCGCGTGGATTGGTTCAGAAGTTTTCCCTACCGCCTGTGCAGCATTCGCTCTCTGTACGCCTCCACGTCCATGACCAGTTTTGCCTTGCGCTCCTTAGCCTCATGTTTTCCCATTTCCAATAGATCTCGGTTGGTCTCCCCACCAGTCCGGGTAGCCGATGAGTTGAAAACAACTCTCAGCTTCATGCCCTATTCGTCTGCGGTTCGTGCACACTCCAGAATTTTCTTTTGTGTCATATCCCGTTTTTTTTGTTCCAACTTGCGCCTGCACATCAAAGCTCATCGCCTCCCTTTTTTCTTCTTTGCCGCGGGTCATGGTTCTCAGGCACTCCTCTTGTATCACCATGGCATAGGCTTTGTTCAAGCTCGGCAGCGGATCGATGCCCAGAATATTGGAACGCACTGTTCCATACACTGCGTCGTCCAAGCCCATAAGAAATTGATGGACTCTTTCTTCCTCTCGTCTCTTCTCCAGCTTCGTAGCGATGTTACAGTTGCAGTCTACACAAACGCACGTCGGAATTTGTTTGTAATTAGCAAGCTCTTCCCATATTTGTTTCAATTTGCCATAATAAGTCACGATTGGGAGACCAACTTGTTTGCTGTTCGCAATATCTACTTTGAGTTGTTGAATTCTTGGTCCATTGCCCATTGAAAAACGCTCTTTGATGTCGTCCCACAAATCTTTCACAACCTCCATATACGTGATTGTAGAACGCAGGCTTGGCTCTATCGTGTTGAGAATCCACGAAACCAACATCGAGTTTACGGTCCACTAGTGTTCCAATTATGGTGAATCATCAGTGGGCTGAGATATAGTCCCATCGATAAATCCAATTTTCTTCTTAGCTTGGAGCGCCATCCGCATTGCTCGAGCCCATTCTTCGTAATTGTCTCCTTTTAATTGAACTTGGGTAATTATATTACCCGGATTGTCATTGGCAGTCAAGTAGTATGGTGAGGCCACCATTTTGCTTCCGCCCTCACCTTCATTCTTCTTCTTTTTTTCATCCACCATTATCAATCAACCAAAGCTTGAAAACGACTCTAATACCATGAGAAAGTTTAGGTGAAAGAGAAAGATAATGGGAGAAAGTTTCTGTCATCCTTGCAAGAATATCGGCTAACAACTAGAAAACAAATCACCAACTTCTATAATTACGATAACTAAAACCAAATTTACGGCTATCCTAAACTAACACAAAAATTACATCCTAAAATATAGATGAAGATATACGATGAATCTCAATAATTAAACTTATATTATTTTCTTATTAGTTTAATGAGTAATTATGTAAAATTAAAAATAAAAAATTCAAAAAAAAAAAACAAAAGATTAGAAAGAGGGGTTTGGAGCAAGAAGAGGCATGATAACTTAGGACCATGTGAGTGAGAGAGAGAGTAGTCGAGTTCATGCGCCCCAATAATGCAACTATTACAATCTACAAACTTTTTCCCGCACATCTTTTAATAGGCCCCAGGTTGTTTTAGGCGTTGAAATCCAGGCTTGCATAAAAACTGATGACTAAGGGTCAGTCAAAATTACCCCTTCACAATTACCACAGTAAATTACAAAGACCACTTTAATATGGGGTTAAGTAGGCCCCTGAATTTTCATTTGGGACAAAGACTCGCAAACCTTAAATTTTTAGTAAAAACCCTCTATATAGAATGCGTTAAATTATCAAAATAGTTACACGATTCATTTTATTTTATTTTATTTGCCCATTTTCTCACTTAATTAAAAAATCTAACAAAAACAATCCACTCAGACTTTAAATGAATATCTCTAGTCATCTTAAAATATCCACTCAAATTTTAAATGAATATATCTCTTCATCTTAAAATATAGAAATTATCCACCCATTTCTCCAATAAACCTAGAAAAATTAAATAAAACTTTAAATTTCTATCTATCAAAAAGAAACTTATAATATTTCATCTAAGGCTGGTTTGTTTTTTGGATTTTAAGAGAGGGGAAGGTTAGTGATAGAATTTTGGTTCTCATTGATCAAGACACCCATGTCCTTTTTTTAGATTTATTCGGGTCTATGAAAAATTTATTTTCCTTGAGTAAGTGATGCCCATCTCCCAAGTGGGTAAGTAACTTTCCCATCTGGGAGAAAATTGCCAATACTTTAGATGGGGCAAAATTGCCCCATTTAATAATCATGGTTTTAAAAAATGACTCAGAAATGGAACCATTATGGCTATTGTTTTTTGGGTCAACGGTTTGACCATCTGATTTGAACGGATGGCCCATTATGACAAAACAATTTAAAAATAATTAAAAATAAAAAAAGCCAAAAAATGTTGAACGGATCGATAGTTTGACCGCCCAAGTCAATGGATTGTTGATTGATTCAACAGTTTTTGTCCAAGGACCAGGTTTGGGGTAAAACGGAATTGGTTGCATGGACAATTATTGGGCCGAATGGGTCCGACCCGTCCAAGTAAATCAATGGCAGTTTAAAAACCATGTTAATAATTACCTTTTTATGGCTAAAACAATAAACACTTGCCCAAAAAAAATGCATTACCTAGGTAAGTAACTTATTGAACAGCTTCAACCCAAACCCAACCCAAATGCATCAAATTTCAGTTCGGGCCAAATCAGGTTTAGACGGTTTAGACTTGACGTTAGCATTGGGCCTTTAACCCAGCCCAGCCCAGACCAACTTTCACCCCTAATTTTGTTCATAGTATTATGATACTGATAGTACATACATGCTACCAAATTGAAATTAATGATTTGGTCTCCACCACAATTCAGAGGCGGTTGTGATTGGTCAAACTTATTCCGGTATCATACCTTTTGGCATCACAAATATTGCCTAAGAGTTATTTAATGTTATTGAAAATTAATATGGGGAAATTACAAATATTAGGATTTTATTTTTTGGTAAGATATTACAAATATTAGGTGTGTGGCCTATAAAAGGCTTGATTTTGCTCCAATTGAAAGCTTCAATTGCAGAAGGTTGACATGAGCCAATATTGAGTGTGTAGCAAACACGTTAAAATCTCTTATATATCCTCTCAAAGTGTTGTTTAAGTTCATATCATGTCTATGAGTGACAACAGGGCAAGTTTAGGAAGGGCACCCATTCCCCAATTCCAAATTTTTCTTGTTCTGAGGAAATTACCAAAAAATAATCTAATTTTTGGATATTTTACAAATATGATTATAGGAATTTGTGGGTATTTTAGGAAATGGAATTATAGGATTTTAAGAATTTGGGAAAAACTTAGAGATATTTAAAAAATCAATATTAAATCTAGAGATATTTTACTAATTTACCATTAGATTCAGGGCAGATTCAGGGGTTTATATGCAAACCACGTCTCCACCCTATCCCCATTTTAGATCAGGGAAAACCTATCCCATTCGGGGTGGGACACTGATTTTATGGGGAAAATTGCCATCCCTAATAATATCAGCAATTACCAAAAAATAATCTAATTTTTGGATATTTTACAAATATGATTATAGGAATTTGTGGGTATTTTAGGAATTGAATTATGACGATTTGGGGGGTATTTTAGAAATGGAATTATAGGATTTTAAGAATTTGGGAAAAACTTAGAGATATTTAAAAAATCAATATTAAATCTAGAGATATTTTACTAATTTATCATTAGATTCAGGGCAAATTCAGGGGTTTATATGCAAACCACGTCTCCATCCTATCCCCATTTTAGATCAGGGAAAACCTATCCCATTCGGGGTGGGACACTGATTTTATGGGGAAAATTGCCATCCCTAATAATATCAGCTTACCCTTACAGTTTTAAATGGATTTAGAAAGTTGAATTAATATCCAATTAGAAATTTAAAATCTACCTCAAAAGAAAAATTGAAATCTTTTATTTTAATATTATATGGAATATGGTTGATGAAACATAATATGATTTTTTAATGGACTATGCAACAGGAGTACCCTTCTCCCCCAAAGGAAATTGGATTAACTAAATGCTTTAACTGTATAGCAGCCAGCAGGCTGTGGAACCAATGATAATGCTCTACACCAGTGATAAAATGCATAGGACCCACAATGAGATGTTAAAAATAATTGTGGGCCCATATATTTTATGACTGTTGTGGAGTGTTATTATTGGCTCTGCTTAACAGCTAAAATGTTCAGTTAATCCTATCTCCCCTAACCCCCAAGGCCCCTACCCGTGGGACTTAATCTGAGACCCTCCAATGCAAATTATAATCAGCTAGAGACTTTACTAGCAGGCTGGCTAGCATCTACGACTTTTTTGTTAGGTAAACATTTTATTGAATTTAATCTCCTTTTCAATAAGATTTTTTTTTTTTTACTTGGGAGCTTAGGTTGAAAAAAAAAACAAAAAAGTGTTTTGAATGTTTGGTATGAATTGCTTTTCTTTGGTAAACATATATTTGAAGCCAAAACACATGAGCCCCAAAAGCACAAAGACCAAAATTCAGATTTTGTACATTTTAGAAGCACAAATCTTAAAGTTTATCCAAATGCAACCTTAATTTTCATTTAGGCTGCGTTTGGTTGGAGTGTAAATGTAAACCGTTACAAATTTGTAATCCGGTTCAGATTTGCATCCGTTTGTATATAGGCAGAGAGAACGACGAACAGAGGAGAACGACGAGCGGGAAAGGTATCTCTGCTGATTTCCACGAATCTGTTCCCATTTTGATATTTTGTTTCTCATTTTTTTTTTCTGTTTTTTCAAGTCATCTACCTCACTAGAAGAGAGATCTTCTCCAAATCCATTTGCCCTCGTTTTTAGAGAGGTAATCTGATCTACCTTCAGAACCAGCAACATCTAGTTAATACAGAAACATCTTCTTCTTTATCTTGGCTTTTCTTAAAATTTCTCATTTTAAAATATCTATTCAGAACTAGTCATACAGTTTAGCCAACTGTTGTTTAAGATAGCGATTTTTTCCATATAATTGATGCGGTGCAAATTTTATGAACAACCGAATGACCGATGCCATGATTTAAGTAGTAGAGAACCTGAGCACTTTAGCAAGTGAGGGTAGAAAAAGAGAGAGGTACTTGGACCTTTCTCCTAGGTTGCCGGGAATATAGTAGACCTTGTAGAGATACTGAGGTAACTCCTTGAATAGAACTTCCTGAATTTAGGTAAAAGTGTTGTTGCATGTAACTGAGGAATCCCAAAATGAAGTTTCGAGTTGTATTATTGTTATCATTGTGGTGAAGTGATGACTAGTCTTAGGCCTCTCTAGTTGATGGCTTGATGCCATAATAAACTCCTGCACATTTGCTATAGTTTTTTTTGTTACTTCCCATGTTTTCTCTTCACTCCTATTTATCCAACATGGGTTTCCTTTAATAAGCATGGAACTTTTGGTTTAAGTATTCAACATAATATGGCACCATTGTACAGGTATCTGGGATACAACTTCCCTGTTTGTGGTCTGCTTCACTACTCACTTGAATACATAACTTTAATCTTACACATTTGATACCACGTGCCCTTATGTGGTTTACTGGTTGTATAGTGAAATAACCATAATACTTGTAAGCTAGTGTGGTTACTGTTGCAAAATCTATGTAATTTGTGTATTGGTCTCTCTGTTTGGTCATTATCTTATAATTCCATTTTGACCTACGTGCTGCTTTCTGATGAAAGAAGATGGCTATGAACAGAATTCCCTTACCACATGGTTGAACCAAAGTAATGTATCACTAAGATATTGAAAATTCCAAATGAAATCCATAAGTTCAGTTATTACATTTGATCATTCATTCCAATCTCCTCAGAAAATCCAATAGTTAGACAAGTAATCCATTAGAAACAAACCTATCATCTTGAAGTAAATATGTTGCATTTTCGATTATGTTAGTTAAAATGAAATGCTCATAAGGTGTTTATATTCTATCTCAAACACACTGCAATGGAACTATTCTTAAATATACCAGATGCCAAGATGCAAAGACACTTCTCTTTTATGGGTAGTCGTTGCTCAACTTTGTCAGTTATTTCAGAACTTTTAGTTTGTAGAAGTTGCCTTCTATGTTATATGTACCTAGTACCTGAAAACACTTATCATTTCCCTGAAAACCTCCCTAAAAATAAAACTATAGAAACATTATGGGTGATTGTAGAAAACACATAAAGTATGACAAATTATCAAGCAAACTACTAGTTCTACTGTGGATTCAGTGACTCATCAACAACAAAATGATACATAAACCCCTGAATTTCCAAGGGTTGCTGATTTTTCAAAGAGGTTCTGCTTTCTCTTGTTATAAGAGAGAGGGTACTGGCTCGTGGAGAACTTATTCCTACGAGCTTTTCAATTTTTCCTTGTCTTCTCAATGACTCTGTAGTACACTGCATTATTCCAAAGAGGGGAAGTGCATGCTCTGCCTTCATCAATTCAGGGAGCTACATCTCTGACTTCTTTAGCATCCCTTGACAATTCTCTTTGTGACATGTACCGTTCTCCTCCAAGGCCCTTGCCTTATGATTCTGATCCTAGATGCTTCTGTTCACAACAAGATGGATTGATCTCCAGACATGAGAAGGGATCAAGTCATTTGCATGAGGAATCCGAACCACTTAGAAGAAGTGATGCTGATACAGGTCTAGAATCACCAATCATTGCAGACAAAGGGAATGGGTCTACTTATGAAAAGAGATTAAGGGAGTATCCTTCAGAGTCCTCAATGAAAAATCCACTGGAAAAATTGACTAGTGGGATTGGGTATATTTATTCATCATCAGAAGACGATGATGTCTATCCAACGTGCCTCGAGGGTATGTTTTCAATCCCTCTTTTTTCTTTCATTTTTACATTCTCTTCTTTTTCTTTGCCCCCATTTTCTTTTATGGAGCTAAATCAGACATCCCCCACTAGTTGGGAATGGAGCTGTTTTCATTGTTTCTGTTCAATTTGTAATTAACATATGAGAGTTTTTGTGTCACTTAGGAAGTTTTCATGCTTTTATGATACCAGGAAGTTGATAATTTTGGTAGGGATTTGCATTATATTTTTGTGTACTTATGGAAGTGAAAGCTTCAAGTTTGTGGTTAGGCCTTTACTTCCCCTACTTATTTATTTATGTTTTTCTTTTCAGAATATACTCTAGAAAACCCCAAGATAATTACCAATTGCTCCCACCATTTTCACCTTGGTTGTATATATGAATGGATGGAGAGAAGTGAAAATTGCCCTCACTGTGGCAAGGTAAACATATTTCTTTATCATGTGTTGTGCACTTGTTTATTCATTCATGCACAATGGTCTTTTATCATCCGGACTTCTGGAGTATTAGCTGATTTCTTTGTATATATATTGCCAAAACAGCGCCAAGGGCAAACCTTAAAATCTTGGCCCAGTCACTCAGTCAGCAAGACCAAACTTTTCCTGTATCAAAAAATACTGAAGCTTGTAAACTATGTGCAAGTCTGGTCTTATATCAGCTGATTTGTTAGTTGAGATAATATTGCCAAATCATGGAGGCCATAATTAAATTGTTGAGGTGATGGTACATTGGTACATAAATGAATCCTAGGAGGTATCTTTGGAAGAGCTAATTGCACTTACACATCTAGCAATTTGAGTAGTAGAATTGAAGAGGTTGGAGGTGGTTGCCATGAGGCTGTGTTAAAAACTGGTGAAAACTAGCAATCAGAAGACTCTACTGTGTTGAAGCACCCGAAGTTTGAAGACATTCAGTGAGTTGCTTCTTTTGATATCATCAGTACCAGGCTTCCTGATGATGCAAGTTCTTTATTTGATTTGTCATCTCTCCAGCAGGCATCAAGTGGCAACGAGCAGCATGTAAAGAGCAATGGTGAAGCAAATCTTTTAGAGCATGTAAAGAGCAATGAGGAATTAAGTTTGTACTACTGTGATCCCCAAGGTGAGATCCAGGGACCGTTTCTTGGTGTTGACATCATCTCATGGTTTGAACAGGGTTTTTTTGGGACTGACTTACCTGTTTGTCTGGCAGATGCCCCAGAGGGAACACCTTTTCAAGAGCTTGGGGAAATAATGCCGCACCTAAAATCTAATGATGGGTTAGTTTCCACTGCTCCCAATACTAAGCCTGATCCATCTGATGCCACTGGAGGCAGCATTGTGGCTACTTTGCCATTAGCTGCTGATTTTACTGGTTCAGTTCTCATGGATAACCAAGGCTGGGCTTCATCTGAATTTGAGAAGCTTCCTGGTCACCATATCAGTCAAGAGTATATAAACGTGAAGATGCAATGGAATCCAATTATTCCGAGGGTCAAAGTTTTCATGACTTTGTTGCTCAAGATGAGGGATAGTTATCTAGTTAGTTATGTGGCTCTTATTGCTCTTTTATATATCCTCTAGTCTCATGTTTCTCATGGTTTTTTCCTCTGTTTTCTGTAGAAGTTGTCTTTTCCGGAAGACCTGGTAGTAGCAGTGGAAATCCAATCCAGAAACATTTTGGTACCCTTAATGATCCATTAACAAATCCCACCAGCCACCCTTACCTTGCAAATGAATCGGTAGAATCTATTGGAAATAAGAGTTGCATCCCTTTGGTCTGCTTTGGTCTGAACTTGAAGATGCTCATTTGAGGCGTACCCAGTCATCAAACATGTCTTCAGGCATTGGTGATCAGGGTCAACCTGTGAACCCCATTGTTGAAAGAGAAACAGATTTTTCTAGTCACAAGAACTCATTTCGTTCAATGGATGATAGACCTCTTGTTGGAGAGACATGGTCTGATGGTTATAAAAGGAATACACTTAACTCCAATTTATTTGTTTAATGGATAGACCGTCAGCAGTCAATGAGTCGACCCCTGATTGATTTAGATCTTTTGAAATTAATCTATAATTTTTTATATTTAATTAATAATATGTTATTTTTTATATTTGTTTAATGGTGGGAGTAGCTGGAACACCATTTGGTAGCAAGACAGTTGTATTTGCATTGATGAAAATGCCAAACATCCACAAAAATTGTATTTGTATTTGCATCTTTCAAAACAAATGAACTGAGTGCAAAGTGGGTGTATAAATCTTGAACCACTTTGCACTCACATGAACCAAACATTTTTGTTTTGCACTCTACAAATTTGTATTCGTGCTCCTTCCAAACGCAGCCTTAGGTTGTGTTTGGTTGCAATGCAAATAAATTTGCACTGATGCAAAATCATGACAGTGCAAATTCTGACCTATTTTTGTTTCAAATTTTAGCTTATTTTATTTCACTGTAATACAAGTGAAGTAAATTAAGACATGAATCAGAACAAAGTAAAACCCCCAAATAAAATTAAAGGAGAATTTGTATTTTTTTTCATTTGCACTCTCATGCATTTGCACTAATGCAAATAAAATTACTTTGCAACCAAACACATCATTAGAATCTTAGTAATTTATTAATGCAACAATTTTTTTTTTTATTTTTTTTTACTTTCGTTATACATGTAATATAATAATTATTTGTAAGTTTTGTTTTGGCAAAGTAATTTATTAGTTATTGGTTATTGCAAATGTTTGCAACTTGGGTGGGCTCAACCCAAGCTTTGGTCTTATTTTTCAGCAATGGATTGGACCTGGGTTTAAAAACTTGGGCTTGTTCTTAACCCAGTTTAGACTAGGTTGAGGCTTTGGGTAATTAAGTCCAACGCTACCTCTTGCAACCTAAGATTAGGTGTGTCAATTGGACTGGATTTGGTTCAATCCGATCCAGTTTAATGTGAGTCTATTATAAATGGATCAGGTCTAATCCGATCCAGTTTAATGTGAGTCTATTATAAATGAATCAGGTCTAATCCAATCCACTGAATGTCATGGATCAATTTAGACCGATCCAATTCAATGTTTGGACCGTCTCAACCCAAACCCGGGCCATTGACACGTATTTTTATCTTATATCAGTGGACCAAATACGATTGTTTTTTGTTTATTTGAAAAAACAAGTGAAACTAAACACTTGTGTAAAAAAAGAAACACTTGTTATAAAACGCAACGGTGCAATCAAATCCTAAGTATTAACGAGAAATAGTAAATTTAGAAAAGAAGTTATTTTAAGTATTGTTTAATTGTTCTAAGCTTCTGAGTAGTCCATTAAATAAGTTACTTATTTCGATGGATTAATCAAATCCTTATTAGACCCAGTAACATTCTATCTGAAAAAAATTAAATCCAAATAACATATTATCCATTCTTGATTGTACACGTGCATAAAACGGGCTCTTCCATATTATAATATCAATATAAAATACAAAGACTGAAATCATAACACTCGTATGTAGATGTAGTAACGTTTCATCAAAACAAAATATCACGGTAGCAACGTACGAAAGATAGATCTAAGAAAAAAAAAAAGAAAAGATGAATATCACAGTAGCAATACAAAGGAGAATCTTTAACCGTTGAAGAAGAATATACAATTGTCATCTCACAGCTTGGTGTTTCTTTCTTCTATTCTCACCGGAAACCCACCTTTCATTTTCGAAGTTAAATAGGACACGTAAACTGGCTCACAACCTTCCTCCATCGCCGGCACAACCCGGAACCGCCGCAGAACACCGGCCACCACCTGCTTCATCTGCAAGAATGCCATGTCCTTTCCTAGACATATCCTGGGTCCCGCTTGAAACACCGGATAGGTGTACTGATCCCTCGCCACGAAGCTCCATTTTCCGGTGACTTCGTCCTTCTCTAGCCACCGCTCTGGCCGAAAATCCGGCCAGTTTGAACCCCACAGGGCCTCCATCCTTCCCATTGCGTAAGGAAGGTATGTTACCCTCACTCCCTTCTTCACCACCGTCCCATCCGGTAGTATGTCGTCCTCCGCTGCCTCCTTGCTGTCCCCGGGAACCGGTGGGTATAGCCTCATGCTCTCGCAGAGCGACGCGTGAGTGTAAACCATATTCTTCACCTCGGTGTATATGGGTGCTACTGGGTTCTCTGTTATCTCCCTCAATATCTCCTCTTCCACGTGTGAGTGACTAGATATTAACCAGAAGAACCAGGTCAAGGCTGCCGATGTCGTGTCTCGACCGGCTAAGATAAAGCTAATCACCAAGTCTGTCACCAAATTTTCGTCCACATGCCCTGAATTCAGGATTCTCGAGAGCAGGTCGCCGTTTTCCAGTGAAGATTTCTCGTCAAGCTCTCGCTTTTTCTCTCTCACAATTCTCTGCGCAAAGCCACGAATTTGGGAGACTGCTAACTGTAGCTGTTTCTCAGACCCAATACCGAATGCCCTTTTCAGCTTCCAGAGCGCCGGGTTAATTGAACCAAACCTTTCACTGCTCAGGCGGATAGCACTATCAAACGCGGTGGTGAATTCTGGCGAGGGAAACGAGGGAGACAGGTATTCTGGGTCAAATCCGAAAGCAATCTTGCAAATGTTGTCGAAGGCAAATCTCTGGAGGATATCTTGCAGATTGATCACGGACTTGTCTGCGGCGGCCGCTGAGAGGATGGGAATAAGACGTTTAGTGAGTTCGGTGTCGACGACGGTCTCGACGAAATTGTGGAGAGACTTGGTATTGAATGCATGGCTAGAGATCTGCCTCTGAGACTTCCAACTATCACCGTCGGCGGTAAATATACCATCGCCAAGCAAGTCGGAGAGGGTGGACCGAAAGAAATGACCTTTTGGATAGCGGTAGAATTGGGTCTTGAGTATGTGTTGGACGTTAGAAGGATTTGCAGTAAGGACTTGACGGACGCCGAAAGGGCGATGAAGAACAAAGGTTCCAGACGGGGAGTGCCTCAGAATCTCTGCAATCCACTCGGGCCAGCGGTTACGATTCTTGGATAGTGCAATATAAGAACCAATTAATGGGTAAGACATGGGCAGTTTAGTGGCCGATGATGAAGAAGAAGACTTCTTACCCAGAAAGCCACTAATTAGGAAGAAGAAAAGTGGAAGGATGAAAGGGAGTGAAATTAAGAGCTCGAGCTGGATCATGGTGGATTGATAGACGAGTCTGCAATTTCGTAACTGGGTGTTGATCAAGAAAATAGGTAATCAAGGATGAAAAGGGTGCTTCTTATTTATAGCTGTGCGTGGCAGATTAAACATTCGTGGAAATGCCTCTGTATTCAAAGCAGAAGCTTCTCTCGAGTTGGAGCGCATCCTACTGATTTGCCTCATTGGTTTGCTTCTGAGTTCTGACGTAAGAGGTTATGTCAAACTGATTAAAGCCCCAAAGGAGGCTAAGACTACAGTTACGCCTAAGCGAGGGCCATAGTTATGAGATGAACATCAACCCCAGGAAGCTTAGATTCTGACGTCAGAGTAGCTCGAAGAAAAGTTTTCCAGACGTTCAACCTCTTAAAGCTGTTCGTGTTAAGTGGACCTCACCAGTCACCACGGAACAAATTCTCAACACCCAGAAAACGCGTTTTTAAGGTGGCTAGTTTTGGCTGATGCGTTTGTTTAAGATGAAGGGTCAAGGTGGCTAATTTGATTGATAGCCACCTAACTAAAATTAGCCAATGTGGAAGTCGAAGAGGGAATGTGTTGGCACAGTACGTGGCGTCCGGATTCTTTTTGGGACCTACGAATTAAGTTGCCATGTGGAAAATAAAGTTTCTTATAGATTTGGTTTGCAGTTGCGGCTTCCTTTTATACTTTTTGCCACTGCCACAGCTAGGGTAGATTCTGGGAGGGTTTTGTAAATTTTAGATGTTATCTGCCTCCCTGAATTTTCAATTCCTATAATTTTAGAATTCAAACTTTTCTTGCACATGAAAATGTAACTCTTCTCAACCCTATCTTTCTCGCATTAAGAGTGGAGCAGGTTGGGTTTATAACTCGTATTTAATTTTTTTTCTTGTTAATAAATATTAAAATTTTCAATTATTTGATTAAGACATATAAAAAGTACAAATTACCAATTATCTTTTACATAAAATTCAAAATATTATTACATTTAACACTTAATACGTAAAGTTCATATACTTTCTAGCAATATACGGATTGGAGAAGATTGGATTTGGCGGTTTAGCCTAACATTGTACCTTATCCGTATGGATACAGGTTGTAAAAGCCGAGGGGATGAGTACCCACCTAACCACAGTCAAGCCTGAGAAAGAGCTACGCTACTCTATGCATTTTATACCGATTGACCATGACTGAACCAGGTGGATAGTTTTTGCTATTTTGGCGTTTTAATTTACTAAATATGGAAATATGCATGGATATGGCACTGAATAAGAACGGAATGGCAAGAAAGGATATATAGTTGTTGGGACAGTGCTTAGATGATGATGAAGATGAAAATATGCATGGATGAACAACAAAAAGAAAACAGGGCAATCAAATTTTAAATGCCTATTATTTCACATGCTTTGGCAGTGGTTTGCAATGTCTCAATAGAACGCCTCTGGTATCCTAGAAATAGATAAAAAAAGGTTTTCTACTTTTTAAAACCAGAACAAGGAGATGATTTTCCTAAAAAAGTCTACTCTCAGCTTAGCTAGAATGCTCCTGTCCTGTGGATCATACCAACTCACATTTAAATTTTAAATAGATTTGAATTCAAGAGAATAATGTTTTTTTTTTTATCAATTTTCTTCTACCTTTCTTTTGGTACAAGGTTGAAAAAATTGGTTTTACATGCTACACATCACAAGGGACGTTTGGAGTGGGGTAAAGGAGTACCTTCCAACAAAAGATGTTCCAACACCCTCTCAACATGATCTAATACTGCACATTTCATATATAGTGGATCCCAGTCTCATGCTGAGATGTATGGTGTCAGATTGTGTTGGGAGAGTGTTGGAATGCCTTTTGTTGGCAGGTGATCTGGACCCGAGGCAAGGCAAGTTGCATATGAGGCCCATTTGTCCATACCACGGAGAGCTTACTGTTGCATGTTTGTCATTAGGGCTCAGTTTGGAAAGAGTACAAATACAAATATGTACATTGCAAATACACAATACAAGATACAAGGTTTTGGGAAAATACGTGACTCCTACACCGTTGGAGGTCATGCATCCCACTAGGCATTTTATACAATAAATTTAAGGTTTAGGGGGCTTTAAGGTTTAAGGGTTTAGAATTTAGATTTTAGGGTTCAAGGATTTGGGCTTTAGGGTTTAGAATTTAGACTTTAGGGTTAGGGTTTAAGGGTTTGGGGATTTGGGCTTTAGGGTTTAGAATTTAGATTTTATGGTTTAAAGTTTTGGGTTAGGGTTTAAGGGTTCAGGGATTTGGGCTTTAGGGTTTAAGGGTCTAGAATTTAGATTTTAGGGTTTAAAGTTTAGGTTAGGATTTATAGGTTAAGAGATTTAGGCTTTAGGATTTAAGGGTTTAGCCTTTAGATTTGTTTTCTTGGTAAAAGTATGGTAGAAAGTCAGAGAAGAGAAGAGCGAAGATAAGAGAGAAAAAAGATTTAAAGTCAAAAACTTGGGTTGATAGTGCCAACTTTGGTATTAAAATTAGGGCAACCCAAACTAGTAACAAATAAAGGGAAAAATTATAGCTATGCCCTTGTGACACTAAAGTACAAAAATATGATAGTTTTAACACTTTGCCTCAAGTTGGGACATAGATGTCAATCATGCCCAACTTATCACATAAGTCATTGTACTACAACTGATGTAGGCCCTTTGTAAAAATGTTTGCAAGTTGCTCATCGGAACTAACATATGGAGTATACACTTCCCCATTAACAAGTTTCTCCTTGATAAAGTGTTTGTCCACCTCAATATATTTAGTTTTATCAAGAAGAAATGGGTTGGCTGCAATATTAAAGACATTTTTGTTATTACAATACAAGGGCATGGGGCTATCAACTAGAAAACCCAGTTCACTCAAAAGATTCTTTATCCACATAACTTCAACCACTCTATGGGAAAGTACTCTATACTTAGTTTAAGCACTAGACCCAGCCATTACATTTTGCTTCTTGCTTTTTCATGTGATTAGGTTTCCTCCCACAAAGGTACAATACCCCACTAGTGGACTTTCTGTCATCAACTGATTTGACCCAGTTAGCATCTGTATACACCTCAACCTTCAAATGCCCATGCTTTTGGAAAAGTAAACCAGCTCCCTCTAAGTGTCTAAGTCTGTGGTTTTAGGGGAATGCATGAATTGACTAAGAACACCCACAACATAAGCAATGTTTGGTTGAGTCATGGACAAGTACAAGAGCCTTCTCGCAAGTCTTTGGAATTGCTTTACATCTTTGATGGTCTGACCATAACAATCACCCAGTCTGTGATTTGGATCAATGGCATAGTCAATTGGCTTCGCCCCTAGTTTTCTTGAACCCTATAACAAATCTAGGATGTATTTCCTTTATGAAATGAAGATCCCCTTTTGTAAGCAGGCCACTTCAATTCCAAGGAAATACTGCAAGGGAACTAGCTCCTTCACTTCAAATTGAGTGGCTAGGAACTCCTTTAGCTTTTGAATTTCAACTTTCTAATCACCCGTGATTACTATGTTATCAACATACACTGATGAGGGCAGATTTGGCCCTCCAGTGAAATTGTGACACGTGGCACCTCGTGAAAACTAGGCGACACCCAGGCAACAACTTACCAAGTTGGTGTCCCACCTGGGCACCGGCCTACGGGCGGCCTGCACGCGGCCTGCGCACTGCTGGCGTGGCCTGGCGCTGCCTGCACGTGACCTACGCGACCTGGTTGACCTGGATCAGCCTGGCACATGATCCGACCTAACTGACCTAGCCGACCTGGATCTGCCCGGCACATGATCCGACCTGGCCAACCTAGCTGACCTGGATCAGCTTGGCACACGACCCGACCTGGCCGACCTGGCAACCCATAAGACGCCCACTGATAAACTCACCAAGGAACTTGCCAAGGAGCTCGATAACTCACCAAAGAGCTCGCCAAGGAGCCAGGCAGCTCGGCAGAGCTCGCCACAAGCAGCTCGGCATAGCCCAAGGAGCTCGGCATAGCTCCCCCGGGCAGCTCGCCACTTGTAGGGTAGCTCGGTACAGAAGAGTAGTTTGGCATATCGCAGGAAGATCTCC